GTGGTATAAACTAAGAAATCCTGGAGTAGCAGCATGTGTTTGACTGCAGCATGATGACCCCTCTCAGAGAGGGGTGGTTTCAAAACACCTCTCCTGGAACTTGTGGTGTGACGTTCCTTGCAGTGCAGCAGGGAGCTCTTTTGGGGCAGCCACCAGCACCATGCTGCTGGCTGTGAGTGGGAGGTGATGTCTGCAGCCGCATTCTGCTTGTTGTTTGCAGGAGGGGGGGCCCCATCACCTTTTCCTCGAGCCGATCCGGGAGGCGCCAGCTGCACATCGAAGGGGCCTCCTTAGAGCTCTCAGATGACGACGCGGAGAGCAAAGGCAGTGACGTGAACGAAGCGCAGCCAGCCCCTGCTGAGTAGAGCCCCTCACACCATTTGCATGCAGAGACCTTTTACACAGTAGTCGGCAGAACGAGGAGGACTTTCCTGACCACCAAACTGCCTTGTGGCCCTAAATCTGCCTTACAAAATGTCGGCATGCTACAAGGTTACTTATCATAGGTCAACTATGTCTTAAGGCTCTCCAGCCTCACCATACTGTACCCTGCTTCAGATATAGGTACAACTGCTTTTTTATATATAGTAAACAAAATGGGATCGTCTCTGTTCAGTGCATCTATTTTCCAGATACTCATTGTAAAGCCATTTTATAAAGCATCATGTGAAGGATGAAACTTTTTTTTATCAATACAGAAACTTCATTCCCAGAGGGTAGGTGGTTGGGACAGGCCCATTGTCATGACTATGCATGCTTTGTTGTACGGACAACATCCTTCCATTTCTTCTGTGCTCAGACGGCCTTGGCTGTGTTGAGTCTGTTGGATCATTGAAGACCAAACTGCACCTGCATCTTTCTTTTCTCCTAATTGTTGTGATCAGCACACAATCAGTGAGTGAACTGTGAAAAGGCGTTGGGAAGTGTTAGAGGGAAATGTAGGGATGAATGAGTAGTGTCCATTTTTTAACCTGCAATATCATTTTGAAGTGTTCTCAGCACCTGCTTCATCAGTTAGTGTTCATGCAGTACAGGCAAACTGAAATAGCGTCACCGTTCCTCTCTGTACAGTACTTCTGCGTTTGTAGTGTCCTGCTATTACCATGCCCAACAGATCTGTATATATATTAAGGCTAGTATAATGTGAACACCAGTGGAAAATAAGCATACAACACAGGCAAAATAATTTATTAACTTATGGCTGAGTAGTTGTCAGGACATGGAGCCGAGGGGCTGCACCGTGAGACCGTGGCCAGCCTGCGCCGAGGGCAGCGGCGCCGCCTGTGCGGGGCTCCCGCGGAGTCTGTGGTTTACAGGGGCTCGGAGATGGATGTTGCCTGCCTACGAGTTAACATGCCAGTGGATGTGAATCCTTTTTTTTTTTGTTGTTGTTGTTTTTTTTTTTTAATTTTGAACAGTATTACAGCGAGTAGTTAGCATTCTTTTTGTTTAAATAGCTGAAAAACTGACATTACAGAAAGTGCCTTAGACACTACAGTACTAAGACAATGTTACATATAATTTGCCTATATAACAATGATTTAATGTATTAATTTTGACTGTGCTTCATATCATGTACCTCTCTAGTCCAAGTGGTATTATTGATATTAGTGACAATGAATCAGTGTTAACTAGGAAACTTCCTCTGCCACATGCTCAAAAGACATGGATTTCCTTTTTTTGGTTAAAAGCTTTAACATCTGTCGCAAAGGTTTTGTTGTGTGTGTTTGGATATTTTTAATCAAACTGGCTGTTGACCACCAGGCATCTGACTGCAAATATCTTGTTTTCTTGTATACCCATATTTCTAGACAATGATTTTTGTAAGACAATAAATTTATTCATTATAGATGTGGCCGCCTGCTCTGTTTACTTACAGGAAGAGCTATCTCCTGAGGCTGGCATAGACCTTAATAAATAAGAATATGACTGGAAGCTGCCTTTTCCCTTCTTAGTGTTTTGTGGTTTTTTGTTTGTTTGTTTGCTTTGGCTTTTTTTTTTTCCCCTCAAATACAGTGTAAGTTACCAGTCAGGCCTGAGCCTTTGCCCGTGAACCTTAATGGCAGTGCAGAACTGGAGCAGAGGAGTTCTGACCCCATCTGCTCATTTTCTACACTATGGCACAGGCACAACGCCTTCCTCTGAGCCCCATTGTGATTTTGAACAAGGTCTGCTCTCTTTACTTTTTCTTTGACAGATGAAGTTTCTGTTTGTGGAAGTGGTGTGGTGTCTCAACCCTGGTCTGGTGGCCGGAGGCAGCAGGCTCCAGGCAGAGGCGCTGGCGGCTGCAGCAGCCAGGGCTGATCTCTGCAACCTGGTTCGGGCTGGGGGGAGGCTGTGGGCTGGGTCTGCTGGAGGTGCAGAAACCAGGGCAGGGGCTGGGCCTGTTCCACGAAGGGGAGTTGGGGGCATTTGGGAACGTGGGCCCACAGCTGGGGCCCAACCCCTCTCTGGTGGTTCCAGGCGGGAGGGGCTCTGGCCTCAGGACCCCTCAGGACCTCCCTGCTCCTGTGCCTCCCCCAGAGCTGTACCTGCTGCTGCTCGTCCTGCTGGCAGGGAAGGGCTTTGCCACCCTCCACAGTCTTCTCAGCGCTGCAGGGTTGTGCCTCTGTCCCCTCCATCGTCCACATGTGTGACTGTCACAGCTGCCTCCCTGCAGTGTGTAGAGCACCCAAGATCCACGTGCGAGTAGTTTTTGGGGCTTTCTAAGGGATGGCTGGGGGGTGACTGCCTGCGACAAAGGTGTCTGGGTCTGTCCCTGCACCTCAAGGGGGAGGGTGCCTCTCCGCACCTCCACCCATGGGGCACAGGGCAGGGACTGGGGCTGCTGGTACCAGCCGGGAGCAAGAGCAGTGCCCCTGGGGCCTGTATGGGGCTGGCCTGGGCAGCAGCAGGAGGGCCTGGGGCTCTCAGGGGCTGTCCCAGGAGCACCGGGGCTGGAGCCGAGCCCAGGCCTGTGAGAGCAGCTGTGCCCATGGGGTGCTGCTGGAGGCAGCGCTGGCACAGCCCTGAAGGGGGTGCACGGAGCCAAACGCTGGAGGCTGCACCTGGAGGCCTCAGCCACGTCCCCAGGCGCAGCTACATGACAAAATACAGTCACGGCCACCTTTTCTGCAAAATCCACAGATTCCACATTAAAAGAACTTTATTTCTGGAAGATTACTTGCTCAGCTTTGTCACGTTGCTGTTTTTAAACTGCATCACTATCCGTGTCACCTCGGTGGTATGGTACACTGTCCTATTGAAACATGCCATATAGATTTTGAATAAATAAAGCTACAAAGCCCAAGTTATGTACAAAGATCTTAGGCAAAGATATTATGTTTACAAACCTATGTACAATAAAACAAATGTAAACAGTCAAATGCAGCAGAGGATGCACAGGAAAGGAGGATCATACAAGCCCTAACAGCAACGAGTGATGTTCCCACCGCCCTTTTGCTGGGGGCAATGTTTTTTTTCTCAGCGCTTGTAAATAAACGAACTTAGAGCTGCAGAGCCAACGGAATGTGATGGACCAAACTGGGAAGATCTTTTTAACCTACTGATCAAACCCCAGCTGGGCTTGCTGGTTCATTTTTGAAATCCACCAACTCTGAGGCACATAGACAGAGAACTCGCACAAATACATTGCTTGAAAGACCCACAAGGTACACAGTCGCCCAAAACTGTCACAGAAGCCTGCAAGTGACACTGTAAAATCCAGTCATATATTACACAGATCTGAACATGGTTTTGATGGTTATGGGGTCCTGGGAGGGGGCATGTCATGGGCAGGGCAGCCCATGGGCTTAGCGGCTTCCTAAGGAGCTGAGTGTCCCTGTGTGGAGGCAGGGAAGGCTTGATGCAGGGGGCGGCTTCCCAGGACTGGGGGCATTGGGGCGCAGGCACCCCACAGACCCCAGCTCCTGGCAGCAGCCACTCGGTGCTGCCCCGCTGCCCGATGGGGCTCAGGGCTGGGCCTGGGCCAGGCGGCCACAGGGCTGCTGCCACCCCTCTCCTTGCTCCCCCCACAGCCCAGCCCCAGCCCCCCACTGCTGGGGCTGCACAGGCAGGGCTGGGGCTGCACTCGTCCTCCCCTGCCCACATTGGGGCTTGGCTAGAGGCAGACACACAGCAGCTGCACCCTGCACAGCCATAGTTTATTAAGCTGCAGTAACTCAGTTACAGACCCAGACCTGATCCCCAGATGCAGATGTTTTGTCACCTCCCTCACCTTACCCCACATCTCGTTTGAGAGGTTGGAGCCTGCTGGGGAGGAGAGCAGCTGCGTGGGTAACTGGCAGGATCATGGAGGGGGCAGGCAGGGAGACGGGTGGCCTTTAAGAAAAGCAGCAAATGTTTCTGTCACGCCAAACCTAACTTAGAGAAGAGAGAAAGTGGCAGGTCAAGGAGCACCTGGCCGAGGTTTTGCAGCCCCTGAAACAGAGCACTACGTGGCTCAGCTTGCGCGACGCGGCGTGGGGCCAAGTCAGAACATGTCCACTACAGCAACAGGAGGAAGTTAACTATTAACAAGATGCGAGGGGCTGTGAGCACAGGGCTTCCTCCAGCAGCAGCCAGGCAGGGACTGCTGCACATCACAGGGCAGGTCGTGTTCCAGCAGGGCGGGAATGGGGAGGAAACTGAAGCAGTTCTTCTCTTGGTGGGCTGAGAAAAGCATCCGCAAGTCCAAACACAACCTCGCGCTGACTCATACGCTCAGGGGGAGCATTCCAGGTGCTGATGAAGGTCTGGAGGCTCCCAGTCCAGGGGAACCTTGATCAAAGCCGTTTACTGCCCTGAGAAGAAACAAGAGACAGGCAGGTGAGTGACAAGCAACCCCAGGAGCTAGTCCCGTTCACCCCACCCACCACCAGGAACTGGAAGACAGACCCATCGCCTTCCTCCTCAGCCCCCTCACAGCACCCTCCCCGAGACACAACGGGGACAGGGCAGGGGGAGCTGGGGGGCCTCAGCCTCAGGGGTACGCCTGCACTGCGGGCCTGGTCCCCCCACAGCTCCCCTTCCCCGGGGGGCTGCCAGCTGCAGCCACTGCCAGGCACAGAGGGGCACAGCCAGGGACAGCTGCAGGGCCAGCTCCAGCCAAGCCCCCGGGTCCATCACAGCTGGCTCTACACAGGCTCTTGTAAAGCAGACAGGGAAGCAGGTACATACAGATACACACATACAGGTGTCCACACGCAGCTACAGAGCAGCCGCACAGGGGAGAAGGGCTCTGTGTGGGCCGGCTGCAGACGCTGCAGCACGGCAGAGGCTGGGGGGCAGCCGGGGCTCCCCTGCAAACCCCCAAATCCCCAGGAGCCCCGGGCTCCCCTCTCCCAGAGCTGCTGTGGGAGGTAAAGCACACAGAGCCTAAAGCACGCAGAGCCTGCTCCCTGCGGGCTGGGAGAGGAGCACCTGGCTACGACAGCTTCTTACTCGACAGCTTCTTACTCCCTACGTGGCCGACACTGACATCTTCTCTAATTAGGCTCAACTCACAGCACCCGGAGCTCCACCATCACCACAGCCTCACGGCCAAGGAGCAGTTCAGTTCTTTGCCTCCCTCTGCCAGGACAGCTCACCCACCCCTGGCTGCCCTGGAGCGAGCACCTCACCCCTCTGTGCTGCCAGCCCCAAGTGGGAACAAAAGGAAGCTGAAAGGCTCTGGGAGGAGGCAGAAGCAGCTGACCCGGGAGCTACCTGCTCTGAGGCCTCGGGCTGCACTCAGGGCAGTGCTCAGAGGAGCACAGCCTGGTGCCCTGCCAGCAGTTCGCATGAGCAGAGCCCCAGGGCTGGGACAGGCTCACGACTGGCCCCAGGACAGATGGCTGTGGGTTCCACACAGCGCTGGTCCCATGCTGCTCACACTCACCGCTGACCCTACACCTCCCAGGTCTGGGATGTACAGACCCTGCCAACAAACCCAGAAGCAGCTGCCGTTGTGTTGGACAATTACAAAACCCTTCTGGAAGGGTTGAAGGATGAAGAGCTCAACTGCACTCTCGCGAGCAAGGTCAGATTCCCAAGGTAACCTGGGGCTGTGCTGCTTCCCACACCAGTGCTAAAGCAGGGAGAAAACACCTTTTCCATCTCCTCCCCACTAAGCTTGAAACTTCAAGCATTACTTTGATACATTTCAGAGACAAATGCCTCCAGGAGCGCCTGCAGCAAAACACTGCTGGAGGAGGCTTAGGGGCAGACGCATTTTGCTGATTTGAGTGAAGGGGCAGGAAGCCAACCTCCTCCCGACATGACTCTGCAAATTACTTATCAGCTAGAAAGCTGCTCTGCCAACTAGACAGGGGAGAAACAAAAAACAAATAGGATTAAAACGTGGCAGTTTGCTTCCTTTTGAACAGAAAACTGATGTTGAATAGCAGCAGCATGGAGGGGTCATGTCTGGCGAGTCACAAACCAAACTCTGCAGGTTCATCATGGTTCCCTGGGCAAAACCCAGAGCCCTTCTCATGACACACAGACCCTGTCCTGCTGTGCCCTTGCTCCATGTGCTGTGTGCCCTGCCCGGGCTGAGGTGGGACAGAAGTGACGGCCGTGTCCTCACAAGCAGCCATCAGCTGCACCATGGCATGAAGCCGAGGGCAGCGCACACAGCGGGGGCTGCATCCCCACAGGGCCCCAGCTGCACTCACTGCCTGCAGCTGCCCCACACTGCCTGAGGGATGCATTTGAATTAAATCCCAACACCTGGCATTTGTGCATGGCACTACACCAGGGACCGGCCACGCCAAGCAGCATCCACTTCTGGTATTGCTACTTTTGGGGCACTGGCTGATCCCAAACAGGGTTTCACCCCGTGGGGAAGACTCAGCTGCAGCCACCCCCACCCAACAGACCTGTCCGTGCAGGCAGCTTCACCTCTGAAGGATGCCACGCACGTCTAGCCCTCCCCAGCTCCTGCTCTGAGGCTCATTTGGCAGCGTGGGCCCTTTTCAGTCTCCCAGAGGTACACAGACAAGGCCAGAAGCCACGAAGCCATCGGGCACTCTGCACAGACACCACACAGCTGTGATGGGACCCAACCTAAATCACCGGCATTACAAATAATCCCCTGAAGCCTCAGACAAAAGGGAGAACGATCCCCAGTCCCCATCTCAGAGCCGGGGGCAGCAAGGGGATGAAGGCTGCAGCCCCAGTGCTGTGCAGCATCCCCCGTGCTGGGGCAGAGGCCTGTGGGCACCCGCAGCCTGCCCAGGTGCTGCCTGCAGCTCCTGCCCTCACGGAGCGCCCCGCTGCCTGATGCACTGGGGAGAGGCCAGGGACTCCCTTCTGTGTCCTGACCTCACTCTCCAAAGTGACACCACCAGTGGAGCACATCGATTGCTCCAGAGGGACCAGCGCCCTATAACCTATCTTTACAGAGAAGCTGTTTTGCTGTTTCAGGCAGGTGTGATGTGGATTTGCTGGCAGCAGTGCCATGAGAAGTGGTGAGCATGGTGAGCATTGGTCACACGAAGAGGTGCCAGCACTGCGCAAGACGGAAAGTGCTCACAGCACTACGATGCACAAGGGAGACAAGCAGGCTCTCTGATGGAGAAGATTAAAACCTTGTTTAGAAGCTTTGTGAGGTTTCCCCATGATTTGCTAATTAAAAGAATATCAAGACAGAGCAGAGCGCTCATTCGCGGCAGCAGCTTCTCCCAGGATGAGCTCCCAGTGAACCCGCACTGTTCCTTCTGTACTGCTCGCCCAGACTTGCCCTCGGTGCAGAAACAAAGATCAAGCAGCAGCTTTGAATTGCAGGAAGCCAGTTCAGTAAGTGGGGCACAGGAAAAGGCTCCGAACAGTATCAGCAAACGAGGGGATGCTGAAAGCTGGCATTATGGCTCAGTTTATAGATGTTTTACCAGCCATGGACTTCTGTTGTTAACAAAAATGCACAAAAGAAATAAGTTAGCATTACTGCAGTTAGAAACAAAGGAAAATAAGTTAAGCAGAGCAATTCTTAAAGAAAACTGTAGTGTGGCGGATGACTACTGACCAACGAGAACAACCTGGGAAGGGAGGTCTTGTACTCAGTCTCTGAGGCAAAACCCTCCACCATGGCACACCCAGAGCCGGGAGGAACACGCACATCGCTCCACGCTCGCCACTCCATCCAGGCTGGCACACACATGGGGTGACCGCACACAGAGCTGGTGCTGCCAGGCAGCCCAGGGACCTGCCCTGGGTGATAAATCCCAGCCAGTTCGCTCGCTTCCTGCTGCCAGCACTTTCCCCAATCGCTCAGACCCGACCCAACACCCTGCAGTGCCTGCCCGGTGCTCCTGCTCAGGGCTCCTCAGGTCAGGCTCTGGTGCTTCCACCTGCTCTCTGTCCTGTGATTACTCAAGACAGACTTTTACTCACTGATCTGTATTTCAAGATGTATTTAGCACAACGTCTCAGAGTCCCTCAACCCGTAAGTATCACACAGAACCTCACCAGCAGACTGTCTCGCAGCTGAACAACCCAGCCCGGGGAATACACCGATGTGGTCAAAGCACACTTGGAGCCCAGCTTATCAAGCAAGCACGAGGAGGAGGTTCCCAGGCAGATCAGTGCTTTACACCAGTGCCCTGGGGCCCTGCTCCCGCTGCTGGCAGGGCAAGGGGCTCACAGCCCTGCTCCTGCCCTCCCCCTGCTTCGCAGCGCCCTGTGCAGCATCTCGGTGCCTGCCTGCTTTGCCATGACCACAGCTACGGCAGCTGAGCAGCAGCCAGCCAATGTCCAACGCAGTGCTGAAGGAAGAACATGACCAAAGGGCAAAATTCACAAAGTTTCAAAATGAAGATTTCACCAGTATTTCAAAATTCACTAAAGTTAGCAGCGATGCTTTGTCCCATCTCTCTGACGTGTCTGGTTCAGTCAGAAGCATGCAGGTATTGAAGAAATATTAAACCAAGAAAGCAAGCAGCACTCAGTCTTATAGTTGCAACTGGTCACAGCACCAGAGAAGTTTATCTAAAGTAAGGAGAAACAGAGATTACAGCCTCAGGCTTTGCTCATTGCCTATTAGTTCGTAACGCTAGAACTACGTCATGCAGTTAGCACAACCACCAACGCTGCACCTCCAAGCACCAGAGTTAAAACGCATGCAGCTTATCATGTAAATGAATTCATTTACCCATGACCAAGGTGGGGAATATGACCTTTTCACGCCTAGTGGAGAAAAATTGAAACAGTTTATGCACACAATACAGACATTCTTGGGCATAACCCTGGATGCAAGCAGCGGGGAAAAGCAGGGGTGCTGAACCAACCCTCGCCTGCTCTCTGCTGTGACCCCTGTGTAAGGACGCTGCTCTGCACGGGCAGGGGGGGGATCCCTCTTCAGTGACCACCAGCACCCCCACCACACTCCAGTGCTTAAGTGCATGACCCAAATAAAAGCTTGGAGCACTGCAGAGCACCTTACAGGATGTGGATTTACTCAGCTGCACCTGGTGTACCCACATTTAAGAAGGTTCCCTCTTTTCCTGGGATTATTTTTTTTTTAAAGGAAGACTAGGGAACAGCAAGAAGACCCAGTTCCTTTCTGATGTATTACAATCAGGGCTGGGGACATCAAGCAGAGGCGCTTTTCACATTTAAACTTTAGCTTGCTTTTTTTTTTTTAATAGGGTATTTCTGTGAATCTACTGGGCTAAGAATAAACACCAACTGCAATGACTCTGACGTGCCGGAGGAGCAGGGTAGAGGCCAACAAGCAGTTCATGCCCCAAGGAATAAACACCCGGTCTTGGCTCGCTGCTGTCCCAGCTCAGCTGTTCTAGTGCCAGGCCTCTGCAGAACCCATCAAGGTCAGAACCATTTAATTCCCCAACTGGATCGAAGTTCGTAACAATTAAGAACAATCACAATGATTACAATTACAAGAAGCAAGCACCTATTGGAGAATGTTCTCAGGTGCTGTTCTGCTGGGTCCTGGTGCCTGTGCAGAAAGATCATGTTCCTAAAGGAACAACTCTGGAGGAAACTGATCTTATGCTATACTTGGTAGAGCACAGAAAAAGAAGAAAAGCAGTAGGTAAGTCCTGCCTCCTCCAGTTCTCCAGCAAAGCTCACTTGCAAGCTCAGCTATTCTCCAAACATCCCCCAAAGTGACGCTGAGGTAACTGCTCCTATCCCTGCTCCCACCACACCATCTCCTGCACGTTGAGCTTCCTGCTCAGCTCTACTCAGCAAGCAGAGAGCAGGTGTCTGAGGAGAGATGGAGGTTCATCGAACATCTTAACCAACAAAATGGGAAAGTAAATGGAAGTGTAATGACGTGACTGAATTACCTCTGTCACAATCCCACCACCCAGCAACTGGCTGTTCATAAGGCAGCAGCTGCAGATTGGACCGGGTCTACGAGCACACGTGGCTGATTCAGGCTCCAGCGACAATTTGGGGCAGGGAGGAGAGTACAGGGGCTGGAGAGAAAGGAGGAGAAGAGGGGAGAAGAAAGAGCACTCCTCAGCTCAGCCCCTCGTGCCCAGCCGCCGTGACGTGCAGGGGACCGGGCACCGCCAGCAGGCAGGCACGGTGGGGCCGAGCTCACCGCGCTGAGGGCTCTGCCCAGGTACTGGTGCAGAATTATTCAGGCTTTACATGGGAACAGTGCAGTGTGCATGCAGCACAGACACCGCATCACCCCCAGACCACGAGAGAGGCAGGAAGGCAAAGCGAGGGGAAGGGGCAAGCCCCTGACCCCAGCAGCACATACGAGAGGAGGAGAGAGAGAGGATAGAGCCCAGCAAGGGTCTCACAACTCGCAGGCGTGCACAGTCATTTCCATGCACTTTTCTAGCCTGCTAACATCCTCCAAGTGTGCTGTAGAAGTGCTCTACCAATAGGCTGCCTTCCTAAGCCTTTTTCAGCTCCAGCCTGCTCTGAGCTGCAGGCAGCCAGCCCAGGTAACAACTGTGATGACAATCTGGATAATTAAAAGTGACCCCCCCCAAGCAGCAATCAGCTTATTTGTCACACCACAACTCAATATAGCCATGCTGCCTGCTAAGAACAGCTCTAATCTCCCCCTAGCACTATCCTGACAGCTTGCACACGAAATGAAGCCTGCATTGAAAGTGTGAGCACTGCTGTGGGGGATGCGTGGACCCCGGTCAGCCTCCCAGTATGCAGACAACCCTGAAGTCTGTCCAATTTGCAAATGACAACGACCTTGTTAAGTATCTGAACACTTCCTTTCCAAAAGCAACAAAAAACGGTTGCTCTAAGAACTCTGTATGCCAGTTTCTAAGCAGCAGCTTGCCCTGCTACCCACATAGCAACATGATTCAGCTCACAGGAGAAGGATTGCAGAAGCCCAGCTTGACTGTTCTCTATATGGCACTCTTTAGGTTGCTAACAGCTCATTTAATGCTCTAAAATAAATTCTAGATTGAGAGCGTGCTGAAAATCAGCATTAAAATTGCACTGGCTTAGGGTTTAACAAGGAAGACTAGCACCACGGAGGGAGCATGGAGGGTGTTTAGCCCGGTGACACCCAGCACAGGTTTCAGTAGCACCGAGTAGCACCGGAGGAGCGCTCGGCTGCACGTCCTGCCCTGCAGTGCTGCTCACCCAACCACAGGGACGGGGAACGTCCTCCTGCTGAACCACTTCCCCATACGAAGGGAAGTCATGTGAGAGTGGTTTTTCCTGTGAAAGCAGTTTCTGGCCTCCCGGCTGATGCGCAACACAGCCGGGAGGAGTACAGCTGCCCCTTCCATCAGCCAGAATTACACAATCAGTGACATTTTCTTTTCCACTAATAGAGGGGGAAGTAAAAAGAGGGCCCCACCCTCCAAGTGAGCCTGTGCTGCCCACACTAAGCTGTTCCTACTGAGGGAATCTCCAGAGTTGTGGTTAAGGCACTCCCCACGCACCAGTAGCTATGGCAACTCCACCACTATTTCCTTGAGATCCTTCTGAAGGCCGTGGTGTCCCCACCAGCTGAGAGATGAGGCAGCAGAGGGGCAGAACTGGTGCTGACATCCTACCAGCTGAGAGGTCACACACTTGCTTTTCTCTTTGCCTTACCTAAGTCTACATTATCCTTGCTTCTCTGGCCCCTTGAGAATTTGGCTCCACAAATTATTTGTCTTATTGGATGAAAGCTGCGGTGGGCTAAAAACAAGCCCAAAAAACCCTCCTGCTTCACACAGCATCCTGAAACACACTCCCCCCTCCTTTAGTGTAAAAATAAACCCCGACTTACCCTTTGTCGAAGAAGGAAGTATGTCCTGGATGAGGGTACTTTGCACCATTGCTGTTTATCATGCTGCTGTTAACATTCCCTGAAATATAGGATTTCCGTGATGCCTGGTCCTTTGCAAAATTTCTGCAAGCAGCTAATTTGGATTCTAAGGCCTGTGAAAGGAGAAAAAGTAAGATTAAGAAAAATGTTTTGCTGCTCAAGTTCAGGCTTTGACATGACCACAGATCACCGTGATCTGTGTGATCACCCCAACGTAACCATCTTTGGCAAAAACTGAACTAAATGGGAACAAAGCTGTCATTTTCTGTCATCTGTCCAGAATTGAAACCCACACAATGAGATGCTGATGCTGACTTCCAGGCACATTTTGCTTCCATCAGGGCTAGGATTTTATAACGTATCAACTCCCATTTAGGTACCAAATGTAAAAAGGTAACGTGGCAGAAGTTACTGAAACCTCTTGCTTTAAGAACTTGAGTGAGGCTGGCGTAAACTAACCAGAGGACTCAGAGAGAACCAAAAGCAGAATCATCAAGTTTTGGGAGTGACCGTACAGTTTGGAAAACTGGAATTTTTCCCAGGACAATGTCTTCTGGCATTTCTTTCTTAATCATTGTCTGAAAAACATGGCTAGTTTCTTAATCCTCCCTGATAATCTTCAGCAGAAGAGGTGCTACTGACACAGCATGAGACAGCAGCAGAAACAAAGGCAGCTAAGCCCATCCTCAGGGTTTCTACCTCATCTCTACTACTTCCAAGCTAGCCTGGCAAGATCTTTTTCTCCCCTATGCAAGGTAACAGACCTTAACAGACCTGCCTCATCCACTGACTCCTGGCAGGAAGGAGACCCAAATCCTGATTCTCTCCTCCACTTCAGTACATCACCTGCCCTTTCTGTCATTTATCACAAACCGAGGTTTAACTTGGTAAGACTGTCTGGTTCAGCAGAAAATCCTTGCAATTATTTGCTATTTCCACCCTGCATGTGTATGAATTCCCACACTCACAGGCACATGGAGACAAAATTTCAACTCCGTAGTATATGGGGCTGTGTCCAGATTCCATTCAGTAAAGTACTCAGTTAATAACTTACTGACGTACTAAGAGAAAGGGAATACTTACATCTTCTTCTAGAAACCCCTTTAATCTTCCTTAGTGACTATATATAAAGATACCTATCTATCTCTTGGTCTTTCTACTGGAAATATCCAGTGTGATCTGCATCAAGTAATTTGCTGTCTCACAAGCAAACAAGAAAGCTGAAGGGAACTTCTTGGAGAGAAAGGGAGTCTGAGGCATGGGACAAGGTATCCTGCATGTAGCCAGCCCAAAGAAATCCTGAACATCCTATAATTATTACTAAACGAATGCATGAGCTGGAATTCTGCATCACTGGCAGAGCGTGTGTTTAAGAGTAGGCTGGGAAAGAAGCATGCTTATTTGGCATTTCCTGTCCTTGCAGAGTAATCACACAGGATTGTGATTAAGCTCCCTAAATCCCCTGCAGACTCTTACTCACAATGATCCCATTTTAAACATGCCACTCCATAACCCTGAGCCGTCCTGTTGCCCTTTCAAACCAACTTTGAGCTCACCGGCTCCAAATGTAAGCAAAGATGTCATTTTTAGCTCAAACTTTGCTAGAACAACTATCTTGACTGCAGCTATTTCTGTCTTCCTCATTAACCAGAAGGGAGAGAGGAAAGCCAGCCCTGAAGGCTAGGCACCGAGGCTACCCAAGCTTCCACTCGAAACACTAACCACTGTGGCACTTAAAACAAGCTTCTCATAACCCAAAAGTCACGTCTTCATTCAACTGGAAAGCCTGGCATCCTAAGCAACACCGTAACAGATGTTTAAACCACTTCTTCCCTGCTTAGAGTTGTAATCCCTTTAAAGGCTCACACATTTCACTTCCCGTTTAACTACACAGGGGAACATTTGGCTTTCTCCTGATTTATTTTTTCCCTTTCTTACCCGAAGGGCTCTTTTCTAAAATTTATTTCATTTTTCAGCAACACTTGCAGATCTCCTCAGGCACAAGAAGAAACAGCAACAGTCTGATTTCAGCTCACCTGCTGTGACATAAAACAACTATGCAGTGGACACCCCAAGTCTGAGGTTCAGTTCTGAGCCCTGGTCTCATTACAGAGAAAGCTGCAGGACCCATTTGAAATATGCACAAGTGCCTGATGATGTCTAGCCCAATGTACCAAAACACTGAAGGTTCTTTTTACTCCAAGTAAAAATTTCATCAATAAATCTGGCATCAGAACTTCAGCAAACCTGCTCTACAAATCAAGATACTTAAAAAATATTATTATTACATACTAAACACTAAATGTGGATGATTTGGAAGAGAGACGATGGAAACTACAGCATGAACTCAACATGGGCCACAGCCATCTTTAATTTGTTTACAAGGATGAGAGCTCAGTGATATCAGCACAGAGCTAGAGATACTTCAGTACAGAGCACTCACCCCCACTTTCCGTAAGAGATCTCCCACAATGTTGAGTGCAGATATTCTAGCTGAAGGAGTAAGAGGGCTGGTACCAAATCCGTTTGGAATAGCTGCAAACAAACATGTTTGATTATGTGAGTTGCTATGTGCCTTGCTCCTCCTCCACAGTTCAATTTTTAAAATAGCTTCAGTATAAAAGGGTAAATCCAAAATCCTACTGCAGGCTCTTCATACAGTTACTCCATGGTAACACAGGCTGCATAACCACTAGCCATGGAAAGAATAAAAGCTTAATTCCTGTTCACTGCCTCCTTTTCCATTAGACCTACATGCAGAGTTCATGCACTCTGCAGCTGCAAGGCTTCTGCCTGCAATCTATCTAATCCAACCAGAGCTTCCCTTGGAATCTGCTCTAATTTAGAAAATAAATGTCATAATCCTTGTGATTGTCCAGAGCCTTCCAGATGGGAAGAGGACTGGACTAACATCCTGCTGCCTCACAGAGAAAACAGCACCCCTGAACGCAACTGCGGTAACAAAGGCAGTCTAGACTATCACAATTACTACCCACCATTTACCCACCACTGCTACCCTGCACTTAAGCTGAAGTATCAGTCACTGCACTGCCCTGCAACCCCAAACGTGCTCTACTGCAGGCACCTACTGCAGAGTACAGTCCCTACCACCCCAAAGCAGTAGCTCAGCTTCTGAATCTTTCTTTTCCATAGCATTTGCTCATGATACTCAGTAAGTAGGCCTGATGCTGGCCCATGATTTAAAACCTACAATTTTTAAATTACATTTATGTAATGCCTGTTGGATCCACATGTACCATGTTTACTTAAACATGTGGATCATATACCACATGTTTACTTAAAGTTTACTAACAAGGACCTGGTCTGAAACTATTTTTGACAAGCAGAGCATAATCTCAAACAACCAGGCACAGCTTCTAGGAATTCTACCTTTTGGGGAAGGAAAACTATTTTCTGATCCTTTTCCAACAGGTGTAGCTGGCAAGGAGAGAGACGCCTGGACAGCTGAATCCATCTTTTCACAGTCTAGAGTCGGAGAACTAGGTGCAGACTTTCGGGTGACTTCTTGTTGCCTTTCCCGTACCGCGAGCTCTTGCCGCAAGTCTGAAGTTGGAAGAAGGAAAATACAGAAACAACACATTATATTAGCAACAGATTTCTCTAACATGATAATCGCTTTTTGAGAGGGGAAGGGGGAATACTTTGCAACAACCAAACACTAATTCACTGTTGCTGGATTTCTCCAGCAAAGACCCCCATCTCAAATCAGACAGCTCAATACCAGCACCTCCCATTACAGCTGGATGTAAAGAGGCAGCAGAGATCCCCCAGCCCAGAGAGCTGCGTGGCCCCAGAGGGCACAGCAGGTGACTTGACCTCAGCATTCTTCCCCACTTGTAGTTTGGTTCCATGGGAAGTGTGCTTCGAAATACTTAGCTGGTTACAAATGCCTGCTGAACTGCATTCAGCTTCTGCTCAAATAGAAGCTGGGAAAACAGATTAATGACCCAGTTTTGTGTTTCTTGTGTTATTTTTCCAGTTAATTCACAGGACTGTACACCAGCCAGAGACAGTCAAAGGGCTGTATCCAGTGTTTCTTGACTCCTCAGCAAATGAAAGAGCAGGCTGAAGAAGCCAGTAGTCCAAACGAAAGAGAAAGAGAATCACAGAATACTCTGAGCTGGAAGTGACTCACAAGGATCAAGTCTGTTGTACAATATGGCTTTTAAGTTATCCTGAATTTTTAGGAAAGATTTTGAGGAAAACAGTACAACTGAGATGAAATCCGATTTGGATTCCTAGAAGAGTATTTGTGGCTGTTCAATCAGAAATTTTATATTTGACTTTGATACCATATCTGTTCTTTTAGTGCCTAGCATTCCTGCTTGCTTACATGGGAATAATATGCAACTTTTCTTTTCCAACAAATGCTAAAAGTTTCCAAAGAACTCATCCAAGACAGAGGATGTCTCATTTGATGATTCCCCCAGTGTTCTAGAAAATAATCCCCTAGGTTTTGCTGTCTTCTCCAGTATTATTGCCCTAACCCTAGACTGCAATACATACATATCTTCAGAAAATTCTTAATCTCCCTTTTCACATTTATTATAAATAAAACTGTTTTCAATAGTGGCTTTCAATTTGTGGAGCACAAACTTGCTCCAAAGAGGCTCACAAAGAACACCAAAGAAATCCCAGCCTATTGTCAAGTGTATGGCCTTACAGTCAGATTGTTGTTTTCATTGAGGAATTGTTTCAGAGTTTCACTTTGGAATGAACATTGAAAATACTAAACTACTGCGATGGAAGGCTTTTGAGCAGATTGTCCCATTAGAGAAGTCGTGTCCCCCAACCATTAAAAAAATAGAATACAAATAAAAAAGTTTCCCCCATGTCCTCAATGTGAAACACAGCAGGGAATTCCCAACTTGATTATAACCCAGAAGACTATCTTAACATCTCTGATCCTACAGGTCTAACCACAGTCTTTACTGGAATATCTTTAATATGCCAGGTGATTTCCAACAGATTTAGAAAGTACACAGTAGACAGAATTTTTAAAGATAGTTGTTTGCCATTAATCATGCATTTTCCTGTCATCTCCCGTATTTTCCCTTCCTATACAAGGCACAAAACAACAGACAGTGGGATCTTTTGGAACACAGTACTCAACTCTGTTAGATCTGCGAAACAGGTTTTTTTTCTGGTCATGTTGGTTAAAAATTCTGAATGAATCTGATATTAATTCAGCCCTACATCAAGAGATTTTTTTTTTGCTCTTAGCTACAGTGAACATACAAAGAATAGAGAAAATACTGTTAGTAAGCAAATCCCAATGCTTACATTACAATACCAGTTTGAGTGTCATTACGTGAGCCTTTCTATAAACACAAGCTTTGGTTGCTACACGTCTCTGTTAGCAAGCCAACAATGTCCCAAGACACAGAAGTAATCAAGAAAGCCATACCTCTCGCTTCATCCTTTAATCGCTGTACAGAAACTAGTAATGATTCCTTGTCATCCAGTTCACTTTCTAAAAACGCATTTCTCTCAATGGCCTGGTTCAGCCTTTGTTCAAAGTCCTCCAATGAAACTATTGTTGCCCTAGAAACAAAATCCAGAATATTAGGTTCTTTGGCTCAACTAACATGAAAGCGTATTCAAAAACATAATAGAGGAAAAATGTTAGCAGGGTCTACATTCAAGTTAGTCATCTGAAAGCTATGGAAATGCTTCTCTGAAAGGACTAAAACTCCAGAGAAGCCAGGGAGTGAGATGAAAAGAACACGATAGCATCTGGCTCTCTGAGATGTACCAAAGAGCTGGAAAAGAGCCAGTCTAGCGCACCTTGCTCCATTCTTCCCAAGCCATTCCGCAAAGCCATATATTTTATCAGTGAATCACCTCAGAAGGAACAGGCAACAGCCCAGAAAGCAGGGCACTGGGATATTCGTTCCATGATTTCAGTGGGACAACTCATATGTGTCAAAAGTTAGTCATGAGGTTAAGAGCCTTGTGGAAACAGAGCCTCAGCTCTTAGATCTTTTTGCCAGATAGCCGGAGGCTCATTCCTGGTCCCACTGAATCAATGGCAAAATTCCCATTCAGCAAAACGGAAGCATGATCGACTCCAAAACTGGGCGTTTCTAACAGCAGCCTGTTCATTTTGTGCACTTACACAGGCCACATTTGTTCCCCACAGTCATTAAGCTGTTATGCAAGGAACAGGAGACTCCTTTGGCCTGTTCAATTTAAAAGGGACTATGTAAAACACTAGCTTCTTACTTCAAAGGGGCTTTGAGCTACAAGGATCACAAATACAAGTCACCCAGCTGGTAGTATCAAAACCAGTGCACTGGCCTAGCTTGCTCTGAGCCTTCTTGTACTGCTCAGTTCTCACATGTGCATGAAGCATTTTAGGCTTTCCCACTAGTTCTTCTTGATGTAATATAACACTACCAGCTGATGGAGGTGAACTCCAGGAGTAAAGTTGCACTGTACAAAGAATCAAGCATCATTTTTTTAAACCATGTGTTTTTTTTTTTTTCCTCTTTAGAGAAATAAAGTGATGAATCTGAGTAACAAGGAAAAGATCTAGTGAATACTTTAAGGAAATCAGAGGACTGCAGCCTTCACCTCTTTGCACGTTCCAAGTCATCGTTGGCCTGTTCCAACTCCCTCACATACTTATGTAGCTGATCTTTAATGGCCCTTGTCTGGCTCAGGTCATCCTCTAACAACGACACTTGCTTGTAGCTTTGTGCATACTGGTGCTCCAGTTTCTCCTGAAAGAAAGAGAAGTAGTGAGATAAACATCAGTAGCATACATTCTCCAAATTATCAGTGGTAAAACTGGACAAACAAAGTGAAATACTAGCTGCAGTCTGCTGATCTGGGATTACTGGTAACACACAACAAAAAGCGTGAAGGCAGAAGGAACATACTCTGAACATCAAAACTGGACACAGGATAAAGTGACAAACACCACATTGTGCATTGACTTCTCATCACAACCCAGCTGGCTGTTCAGAGATGCATCCCTGCATCTGTTCCTAACAGCCTGCACTGACAGCTGCTCTGATGCCTCAAACATCTAGAAAAACAGAAATCTAACTGCACAGCCTCCCCTTCAGTGCCTCTCTCCCCTGACAATAGCCACACTGTTACCAGAACACATCTGATGTCTCCATTACAAATGAGAGCCACTGAAATCTGTTACAAAACCTCCAGGTCCACAAGCTTATCTTCGAGATACTGGAAGAATCAAGTCTCAAACACACTCTCACCAGCTCCAAAGGGTACAGACAGGGTCTTATGGAAAAACTACTGACCTTGAAAAACACATACTGGCCTTACAGACATAACCAGGACTGGACATGTGAACAAGTAATCCCCAAAACCCTATTTCCATTAGGTAAGTTTTCCAACCTTTGCCTTCAATAAACTAATCTGAGGTTACCAGAAAAGATACTTTTCAAGACCCTGAAAGAATTTGTTAACACAGAGGGGTTAATTAAAATGCATCATCTGAACACACACACATCCTTATTCAGTTCCTGTCTCCACAGATATGGCTGTTAAGAATTAGGAAAAAATCTCTCAAAGATGTGCACAAATCACCCATCTTCAGCTTTCTTTAAGGTCTCATAAAACCAAGGAGACGTTCTGGAAAAAAAATAAAAAAATTGCAAAGAAAGATGACAATGCAATGGCCTGACAAAACATACTTGTGTTGTCCACCCTGTTGCTATGCTGATGTTGCCTGGGTAAATAATAAAGCTACCACTTGGCAAAGCCTAGAGAATTCAAATAAACGAGCACAAACTCAATGACAAGAGTTTAATGATGTGAACAAGAAAAATTCCTCCAGAAATTTCTCTGGTAGGTTGCTGCCTTATTTGGGGCACATACTGGAGATCCTCAAGACGGGATCTTAAACAGATGACTCCTTTACTTCATTTGGATATTCAGTGACCAAGACCAGAACAGACAACCTAAAATAACATCCAAGACATATCTGTAGGAGAGGCAATGCCATTACAGACAAGACCTACCTTTAATGTTTCCACTTCATATTTCAGTCTTTGGTTATCTGCTTGCAAATCCCTATTCCTCTGCTCAGCTTGCACTAGCTGTGCCTCCAACTCAGCTTCTAATTCTCTGCTTCCCTCCTGAAATTCAGCCAGCTCTTCTCGAGCTTCCTGGAAGCTGTAAGGAGACAATTTTGTCAATCGAAAATGCAGCATCTCTCAAGTTAAAACAAAGTCCATGGCTCGTTAAAAACAATCAGCTGAAAAAACACGAGTTTTAAAGTACTTAAGCGTCATCCACAGACCTCTGCAGGGGAAAATGAAAAACGAGGAATAGAGAAATCACATTAAGTTTAGCTATAAAAAGAAATTCACTCCCTAACGCCAAAAAAAACCCAAACAGCTACATTAAATACATGTGCAAATACAACCTTATCAAGGCTGTTCCAGGAATCACAGAACCTGATGAATACTTTGTACTCCCCTAGCTTTCACCCTAGCAGACTTGACAGAGTCACTAAATAAAGTGAGTTTGTAACCTGCTTCTGGTCAGACACTAACAGAATGAGTTACTGTATCTCTGCACTACCTGGAAATTTAAGGTTGCTGAAAAGCATTAAGCTTTGAATCTTAGGGTTACTTAAGCACTTTGGAAGGAAGCCAGCACTTACTAACCTTGTACCACTGCAAGGTATTAAATTGCTAAAAGCAGCCTCTCCGCATACTTCACTTATTAATTTTTCATCTTTACCAAATGTCATAGCTCAGCTCCTAGCAAGCTGCAGAGAAAACTAACAAAGCTTTAGGAAACTACATACCCATTGGCATTAAAGGGAGACTTTTCTGACACCCAAGAACAGCCCAGGAAACCCCACATGTGAAGGGGCCTGCCCTTCACATGCCCACTCCCATCCCCATTCCCAGGAATAAAAAAAAAAGCCAAACAAAAAAGCAACTTGCACGTTGGGCTCTTTGGGCTTGAGAGAGGTTTCACTCCTATTGCACACAAGTAACACTGAGTGCAAGAAAAGCTTTCCAAAGAGAACAAAAGCTGGGAGCCTGTAGTCATTTTTTGTAACCAAAAAGCCTCGTGCCCCCTTAAAACACATAGTGGCACAAACACAGGCTGGACTATGAAGTACAGTGCATTTCAATAAATGGCAGCAGCCACCAAAACAGTCACTTTTTATACCAGTAACTAAACTGCAAGAAGCCCAAGGGACCAGTAATGATATCATCAAGCCCAAAGGCAGCTACTTGCAATAAAATGTCAAGTTACTACTCAAAGCAGCACTTTAATTATACAAATATGCACATGATAGCAAAAGGGGCTCTTCTCTTGCTCAAACATGCCCAAAACATAGCCTTGAGTTCCTGGCACGGGAGCACTAAGGAACACTGCGCTTCCACAAGGCTGGTAATGTAAAAGCTGGATTTAAAGCTGGAAATAAAGAGCTTTTTTTTTTTTTTTTTTTTTAAACAGACACCTAATACTCATTTTGGTAAAATCTTGCAGAGAAACAGATTAAGCCACATTCTGATCATCAAGAACTATCTGCAAATCTACAACAGTACCTTTGTTTGTACTTCAAGGAAAGCTCTTTCCAATACGCGGTTTCCTCCTTTGGACTTGAAAAAGTTGGGATTTCTTCACTGTCCATGATCAGTAGGTCCCTGCAGGGCACAAACACAAGAATGTGCTCAGGATAGGCAGACAGGCCCCGAAACTGCTGCTGGGCTTCATGGCATGGCCTGGCAACAGCATCCAGGCTTGGCACTGGCCAGCAGGATGTTAATGATCATCACTCAGCAGAGACCTGCCGCAAGTAATGAAATATCATCCGGCTTCGGGAAAGGCTTGTGCAGCAGCCTGAAATGAGACCAAAACTGTCGGCTGCGTGCTGTAGCTGTCACTGAAGCATTAGCTAATGCCACGTGCTCATTTAGGACCACCACTGGTAAGGACATTGAAATTTACAGCTATCACAGTTTCCACTTCCATTTGGAAAATGTTCTTAGAGGTTCTGCCTCCTGCCCTTCCTATTATGGCAGGAAAGGGCACGAAACAAGCGAGCCCAAACGCTCTGAGGTCAACAGCCAAGGAGCTGTGCTGTGGGCGTTAAAACTCGATTTACTCTTCCCAGGTTGAGCCCAAGCTCATTTCTGCTTCCGTACCAATGAGGTAGGTGCCAGCAGCCACCCTGAGACCCTGCTGTGCCCTCTCCAGCCACCCCAAAACAGCTCTCCCCAAGCCCCGTGCCCCCCCGGCCAGCAGCTCCTGCCAGGGGTGTCTCCGGGCGGGTGGCAGTCGCGCTCTGCAGTGCAGGAGCTGCCCCCGGGGTGTCACGCAGATATTTGGGAGCTCTCTCTGAGCTCTCACTCAAGGCAGTCATTTCTCTCCCCCCTCTCCAACAGCCAAGACTCCAGCTCGGTTATGAATTCCCAGAAAACAAAGGAATAAGCTGAAACCAACCTCTTTGCTATGGCAGAGGCTTCAGACAGCGCTTGCTCCAAGCTCACGCTGGCAGATTAGCCAGTAACAGCTGACCCGCGAGTCCCGGCTTCCCCTCTGACAGCCATCAATAGCCACTGCTGTCCCTCCAGGCCCAGCCGTGTCACACTGACACGTCCTGCATCGCCGTGACCCACATTTCAGCCACCCAGAAGTGGGACACAACGCCCCAGCGCTTTCATCAGAGGGCAGCCAGGCTCATTCCCCAGCCTGGTCCTTAGCTCACAAAGCGCGGCACAGCCGCTCTTCAGCCAGGACCGCAGCTGCCACCACCCAGGGCACGGGACCAAACTCACCCAGCGGGTGCTCGGCACCTCAGAAGCACCCCGACTGCCTCCCTGTGCTTCCTGCACCCCACGCTGCTGTCAGGTCCGAGCTGGCCATCATCAGCCAGGCCCCCACGCCGCTGACACCTGGCCGTGTTTCCTCTCCTACGCTGCCCTGAACTGAACACAGCACACGTGAGGCAGCGCCAGCCCTCCCGGCACACGTCTGTCCAGTCCTGCTGTCCCTCCAGACAAACACGTCTTTGGCGTACGTGCTTCAGCTGCTGCACCTGTTGGCAAGGCAGTTTAATGGTAACCCAGGAACAAACGGCGCCCCGTGCAAAGTGCCTGTTTACGGTGGATGCGGAGCCCGTGAATCACCTCCCGAGCCGTCAGGGTATCCCAGCCGGCTGCAGCAAGGCGAGCAGACACTGCTGTGGCTCAGGCACATGTCAGGCAGCTCCTGGGCTGCTACACTGATTTGGGGGAAGAGAAAGCGATGAGCAGTTTGCCTTGGTTACCGCTGTGTGCTGTCCGTAACACCAGTCCCACACAGATCACATTGGAACCGCTTCAGTACAAGTCTCCGGACCTTCCCCTCCGTCTCTCCAAGACGGCCAGCTGAGAGCACAGAGCAGCAAGAAGCACGTTTTCCCCAAAACAACACCAGAGGTGTAGCACTGAACAGGGTCAGCTCCCAGTGCTCCGGAGGAGCCCTTCTGAAGACGTAACCCGCCAGGAAGCCCCACATCAGCGAAATTCAGGATGCGTTGAGAAGAAAGCTAGCACGAGGAAGCGCCTTGCATCATTTCCTAGAAGCAGGCGCCACAAGGCGCGCCTGGGCCCAGGACTGCTTCCTGCTGCGAGGGTGGGGAGGGCAGAACCTGGGGGTTTCCACCCCTCATCCAAGCACCACTTCCCTGGAGACACCAAAGGGAGGAGACTCGCCCTGCGGTACCCCAAAGCCGGCAGCACCCCTCATCCTTCACCACTGAGGTCTCAGAGAGGGACGGCGCCGACCTTCCCAGGCCTGTCCGTGGCCCCTGACACATTTTTTAGGCGGTGGCAGCTCGCACCCACCCCTGCTCAGGGTCCTTCCTCGTGCCCAGCTGTCAGCCCTGATTTTTCACCTGGCTCCTGCCCTGCAGAAACACCTCCCTCAGATGCCAACGTGCTAAGCTCTAGCACCCACAGCCTGGTTTGCGTGCACGATGCTGTAGCTCTTGCTTTCTCTCACGTGCACAGGGCCAAGAGCAAGCTAAGAGCACACACAGTACCCAAACACGGCAGCTCGGGGCCAGAACGCTGCCCTGAGCATCAGGAGGGGCAGGCAGCTTCATGGCACAGAAGCACAGCCCTGCAGAAAGCAGCCCCCCAGCACCACCAGGGCACGAGCACCCAGCCTGAGGCATGGACGCGTGGGACGGCGTCACCCACGGCGTGCCAGGGGCTGGACAAGGACGGCTTTGCTGCTGCACGGCGCCAGCTGCCCGGCTTGGGGCTTTGTGCGAGGGGCTGAGCCGCAGCACGTCGAGCCCTTCCCATTCCCGGGCTCCGTGCAGACGTGGCGCTGCCAGAATCGAGCCTTTGACAAAGAACACTGAGGCTTTCAGGACATGGACAAGACAATGCAGCAGCGTCTTCCAGGGAAAATGAGAGCAGGCTGATGGTGATGCCCACTCGGCATTCATTACAACACAGCTCAGCATTCATGCAGCACCCTGGGAAAGCTCGGGCACGCGGGCATAGCTCCAGGAGCAGCACTAAAACAAGAGCTGTGTTCAAAGCACCGTGGCTGCTTTCAAGCCCCCAGTACACAGTCACTGGGACAGAGTAACTCTCCTCTTAAAACGGAACAACTTTTCGATGCTGTGATTGCACACACAAAAAAATAAAACAAAACAAAACTGCAGCTTGTAGGTTAAGGACTTCTCTAACTGCATCTTTTTCTTTTTTAAGATGGGACAAACGTGGTTTCCTCACCTCCAGAAGCATCCTGCCAAGCGGGATGCTCAGTATTTTCTGAACCCTACATGTGCCAGAAGGAACTGAACTACCAGGCAGACAGTACTTTCCTCAAGGACATTAATGGACCTTGCATTCAAGGCCAAACTGAAATCTTCAAGGAGCCACCAAAACACAAACACAGCACCTTAAAAAAAGCTGCCCTGGCTCCCCACGTGACTGGAGGCTGCAGCTCGGGCTTGGATCAGATGTCAGAGCACAACACAAGGCTCCACATCCAGCGCAGTGCTTGGACTCCTCTCTCCCCCTTCCCACAGCTCAGAAGCCACTGCTCCGATCCTCAGCTCATCACAAGCTACAGAAGCACTCCGAAGTGACTCAGAGCCGTGCTCAGACGCAGCTGTGATCACCCAACACTTTCAGGGAGTGCTCACCGAGGAGAGGGGAGGCACAGCAACGTCACTGAACGCACCAAGCTGCGGTAAAAGGCATCCCACATCCACGCTTCACTTCCTGACCCACCACCAAAGGCAGCACAACCGCCAAGTGACCTTTGGAACTGAGCAAATACCCACCTAAAATAGGACCTGGCAAAGAAATCCTGCCAAGGTCACATCCGGCCTCCAGCTCCCTGGGCTGTCGGAGCCCCGGAGGGGCCGGGTGCCTGCCCCTTGGTGCCAGGAAGGGCTCTGCCAGGAAGCGTCACTGGGGCCCGGCAGGCAAACCCAGGTCTTCCACCTCTTCCCATCATCTCAGAAAAACAGAAGAAAACTTGTTTCTGCCATTTCTGGTTGTCAGATCCCAAGAACCAAGAGGTAACCCCCGAGCTGGCGAAACTCTGGATTTGTTTATTTTATCTCAAACCCAATTTTGGACTCAAAGCACAGCTGGGCACCTGAGCACTCCAGAAAAAAAAAGAAAACACAAACTTGTGTTGTCTTTCACTTATAAGAATATAGAAAACAAACAAACAAAAGCCGTGGATTAGGTTTCTCCAATCAATTTGGGCTTGTTTTTCTCATCCTGAAATAGGAGCTGGAGGCATTTTCATACGCGCGTTGGAAGGCTGCCTGCTTCCAGCTCTGCTTCGGAAAGCAAACCTCTGTCTTTTCCTGCAGTACTATTTTTGAACTGAATGTTCTCTGGTGAACCACAACAAATGCCTCCTTGCCTCTTACAACAGCAGCAGATGAGCTTACGGGAGGAAAAAAGAAGTCAGAGAGCACAGCGTCAGCACAGCACTCCCTCCCCGGCTGTAACCATCAGTCCTGCCTTTCCGAGGTGGGCAGCACGGCAGGCAGGAGAGGACCAAACCTACCCGCAGGATCCTCAAGCCAGGCTCAGGATAGAAGCCTCTGGAACAGCCAGACACCGTTCAGTAAAGCCTTTTCATCCTGACAGCCACTGTGGAATCAGCCTTATTGATGTACTACAGCCAGCCTGCTTTGCACACATGGCCAAGGCTTGCACACCTGGCAAACAGGAGACCTGCTGGGGGAGACAGGGACATCCACCCCCCACCCCCCAAAAGCAAAACCAAACCAATGTTGCCACATTAGCCAGCCCTGCGATGCAAGCAGGGAAAACAGAAGGAAGGCACTAATATGGGAAGCCTCTTTTCAGAAATCCAGCTACAACTACCAAAGGCATCAGAATTTCCTGTTAAAACCATTGTTTCCTTCACACACCTGGCAGTGTAAGACAACCTGCCTCTGCTTGCTCCCAGCAGCACCACCGAAGCATCTCCTGCCCAGCAGCAACAGCCTCACCTGAGAGTTTAAGGCAGACACAAAGAGCCTGTGACAGAAGCCAGCACAGAGGTCCCTGGAGCCTCCCCATTATCTCAGCAATTAATGCCATCCCCATGATGAAATTCCCTGGAAAGGCGGTGGCCAGAGGGCTAAGATGCTTTTGGTCACTGTCAAACGAGTGACTGGGAAGCTTGAAGGGAAGAGCACTTGGCGCAGGTTTCTCCTAAGGTGAGGCAATCCTCTGCTACCTTTTAAATCCCTTACAATCCGGCAGTGCCAGGGAGGGAAAACCTTTCTGAGAAACGCCACCCAGACACAGGTCACAGGCTGGCCATAAGCAGGGGGACTCGGGTCCCTTCAGCAAACACTTAACGAGATGAGAGTTTTAAAGAAATCCCCGAGCCGTGCTGTGATCGGGGCAGTGAAGCTCAGCGGGCTGTCCCAGCATGAAGGCCCCGCTGTGGGTACAGCCGTGCTGGGGAAGCCACACTGCTGGCAGCGGCTCGATCTGCCCCAGGGCGGGCACAATGCAGTGGTGATAACGCACTTTGCTTGAACGCACCTCAATTTTATCTCGATTACGTTGGGGACACAAACATCTGAACACCGTGCGGCTCTCCTTTTTTAGTCCAACTTCCCCCCTCTCTCCAAAATACCTGTATGAGACTGAAGGCACAGGGAGTGCTTCACTCCGTGCTTTTGGGCAGCCTCGTGCCAGCCGCCTCCAGCGCCAGCTCTCCCCGTGGCACCAAGGTCACGGCCACCACAGCCCCATTTTCTCCCCCCCCCCCCGCAGCGGGGCTGTTCCCTCACGCACCCGCAGCTCCACACGAGGAGGAGAGCAGGGTTTGGCCCCCAGGAGCTGGGGAGGAAGCTAAATTTGTACGGACACCCGGACACGCACCCTCACCTCGGTACCCTCGGCAAGGCGCAGGATCCAACCCTCACTCCCCGAGGTGCGGCCGCCCGGGCTCTGCCTCACACACCCGCAGCGGGCCCGCGGCCCGGCCCGGCCCCCCCACACACACCGAGCCCCCCCCCGCGATCAAACACAGCCAGGGACACAGCGAGGCCCCCGGGCACTGCCCGTGCCACTGAGCCCCCCCCGCGCCGAGCCCGGCAGGCCCCGAGGGGCAGGGGCAGGGCAGGGGCAGCCCCTTCAGGACCCCCCCCCCCCCTCACTGTGCCGCCCCCTCAGGGGGCTGAGGGTGGGGGGGGGGGGGGGGGGGAGCGGCTCGCGCAGGGCGGTGGCCGCGCAGCCCGGCCGGTCCTGACAGACGCACGCTGCGTCCAATCGCAGGCCGCGGAGCCGCGCCGCCGGCCAATCGCGCGCGCGGGGGGGCGGGACGTGCCCCGTTGTCAGTTGGCAGCCAATCGGCGGGGCCGCGCCGGGAGCCACAGGGCCCCGCGCTCAGCCCCGCAGCCCCCGGCCGAGCCCCGCGGCTCCCCCCCACCCCCGCTCCCCGCCGCCCCCCGCCCCTTGTCCCGGCCCGGCCCGGCCCCGCCGCTCACCGGGGCGCATCGCCCGCCGCAGCCGCCCGGCCTCGGAACCGCCTGATCCGGGCACCGCGGGGCGGGGACACGAGATGACGCGGGGGGGCGGGCGGGCGGGCGGGCGGGTGGGTGGGGAAGGGAGAGGGGAGGGGGCTGGGGGGGACAGGGGAGGGGCTGCAGGGAGGGGGGGTGCTGGGGGGGCTGGAGGTCAACACAGGAGGGTGGTGTCCAGAGCTGCCCGGCATCTCGGAGGGCGTTGAGGGGTCCCCAGGTGACGGCTCTGGGGGGGGGGCTGCAGGGACAGCAGCCCAGGCACAGCCCTGGGCCCCCCCCCAGCCCCTCCAGCAGGGATTTGCCACCGGGGCCGCTCTGTCCCGGGGCTCGGGGCCGGCGTTTCCCCAGCAGCAGCTCGCTCAGCACGGCCGTGAGCACCACAGCACCACAAGCCACACGCCGGGCACAGCCCCCCAGCCCCATGCTCCATGGGTCGGCCAGGGCAAAGGGCTGATGCTACCGAGGGGTTTCTTGCTGCATACAGGCAGAGACACTTCATTTATCCTCATTTTACACCCCCCGCCCCGAGCGGGTTGCATACATTCACACAGAGGCTTTTTTTGATAAAATCTTCTATTTTTACCGGCTAATCTGAGTGCTGCCGTTGGTGCCTGGGCGATATTTGCCCAATTGTTTCTTTTGACAGACTTTGCCAGCAGTTCCTGAAAAAAGCTGTTCACGGCTCTGCCTGCCTGCTGGACGCTCGGCTGCCCCCCAGTGATGATTTTTTTTTCTTGATTTTTGCCCTGCTGCTCACTGGGTGCTGGGGTTACCCCTTGTGCACCCCACATCTTTCGGCACCCACCTTCCTGGGGGTCCCTGGGTGGGCATGGTCCAGGAGATGCAGGAAATGTCTCCAGAGCTCAGCCCTGGTCACCCTTCCTTGCTGGGCACCTTGGTTTGGATGCATAAACCCAGGCACGGCAGGGTGGGGAGGATGCCCTTGGAGCTGAGCATCACATCCCAACAGCCCCCCGGGTGTCTGGTGGGCAGGCTGCCAGGCAGCCCTGGTTGGCAGAGCAGCTCTGCACGCACACAATCCCTTTGCAGCACTGTGTGGTCATAAACCCCAGGAAAAATCATTAAATTAACCCAGATCATGAGCACCGCCATAAGTGAATATCGAATGATATTCACTGAGCCTGTTTTTCCTTGTGCTGCTCCGAGACGTGTGTTGCAGCAGGAGCTGGAGGCTGACCTGTTCTGGCTCCTGTTAAACTGCCCCGCTGCCACCCCAGCCCACTGGGAGCTGGGGCTTGGAGGAAAATATCAAACTGCAGCAGTCCGGCAGGCAAAACCACAGAGAGTAACTCGTTTTGGTACAGGACCCCAAAACCCAAGCCCTGACAGCCTGTTCTGCTGACATTGCAGGGTGTCTGTGCCTTGTCTTCCAAAACATGGCACAAAGGAACTGACAGCAAAAAAGGGGTGAGCATCTGAGGCAGGGTGTTCCCAGCACCTTGTCACCTCACCTGGCTCTCTTCCACACTCGCTCCTACCTGTGCCAGCAGCCGGCGTGCAAGGGATGAGGGTTCAAACCTCAGGTGCATCCCAGACTCCTGCAATGGCCCCGTTGAAGCCTCCCATGCCAGAAGCAAGGGGAAAATCCACCTTTGCTGGCCATGTTGAAGCAGAGGATTTGATGACAGGTTCAGCAACCTGCTCGCCACCCCGGCCCCGTTCCCAGGAAGGACCTGCCCATCCTTGGGCTTGCAGGATGCCCAAGCCCCTCTGCCCTGACCACTCCAGCCCCGGCTGAGCAGATGCTGCCTTCTCCCCCCGAGTGTCTTCCCTCTTGCTTCAAAGCCGTGTGGTTTCTCCATTACATGGGAGATGCTGTGGATTGGCATTGCAGCGGCACCTCCTCCCCTTAACCATCTCCCCAGGGCACTGGGATGGGAGGTGAGGTGGGACCAGGGCAGGGAGGGGATGCTGGAGAGATGGGGAGGCAGGGGGGATGTGGGCTGACACCCCATTCAGGCCTTGCTCTGAGGACTGGGCCCAGGGAAAGCCAGCTTCTGGTGCTCTTGCATCTGTTTGTGGTAGCAAATAATTCACCAATACCTATTTGTTTCTGGCTTTTGGGGCAAATGGTGGCACAGCCTGTGTCCATATGGGCCAAACCTGCCCTGCAAAGCAGGGACCAAGCCCAGGTGTGCAGTGGGAGCTGGCACAGCCCCAGGCACTGTCCCAGTCCCCATGGGGATGGGGCTGTCTTTGGGATGGGGACTAAAGACGGGGTCTGTGCAGCTCAGGGGAAAAAAAGCCTTCAAGGAGCCTTTGGAGACCACAGTTGCCCTACAAGGTTTGGAAAACCCCTATGTGCCCAGGGGCTGTGTGGCTCTGCATGGGCCGGGTGGGACAGGAGCCGATGTTTGGTGTCGGAGCAGGGCTCGGAGGGGTTACACCCGGGTACCGCGGGTCCCTTAGCAAAGCAGGCAGCATCTCAGCACATCCGCACCCTGGTGGGAAAAGAGGAATGGGAGAGGGGCTCGGGGAGGCTCCAGCTGTTCCTCGGTGCTCACAAGCATCTCTCACTCCGAAGGGCCAGACCCAGGACGCCCCCGTCCCACCCAGCCGTGGCACCGCCGGCTCCGCAGGTGCGGGCTCGGGGCCGCTCCGCGCACCCGGGGCTGGATTTTGGGAGGCAGCCAAAGCACACACGAGAGCACCACCTCCTGGGCAAGGCACAGAGCGCCGGGGAGGCCGCTGATGCAAGGGCTCCTGCTGCTGCTTCTGGGGCCTCGGGCGTGCTCCCCCGAGCCTCTCCCCAGGCTGGGAACATCTCCGCAGGCTAAAATCAAAGGCGGGTTTACTTCTCCCCTCTTACCCACGGCTCCTTCTCACCGATGCCAACCACTCGCTGTGCTTGAGAGGCACCTGGGAAGAGGTGGAAGGAGAAGGGGCTGAGCAGAACCTCCTGTAAAGCCTCAGACCTGCAGGTCGAGATCTGAACATGAAATACAAACCATAGTAAAATGCTGAGTAAAACTTCCCAAACTGGCTGCCAATTAGAGACGTGGGCACAATGATTCCTCCTTCTCCAACTGAAGACTTCACCTGGCTGAGTGGCAAAGCTCCCTGTGTGCATCTTGCCACCAAGAATAAATTGGGATTTTTCTCACCGGGATCCTGGCCCCAGCTGAGCAAATGGGTAGGGACACACCTGGGCTCACTGGAGACTTCCCTGTTCCATCAGTTGGAAGCTGCAGCACGGGCTTGACATGGAAGTGCTGAGACCTATGGCACCAAACTCACACAGAGATCAATCTTTTGTCTATAAGTGTGCTTTGAAGATAAGCAGTTTTATGTAGCTATATATAATAGCTTTGTGCCTCCCGTCTGCCTGGTGGTTGGGAGTAGGAAGTCTGGGTGATGCTAGTGAAGATTTGCAGCATCCTTTCATCCCTGTAAAAAGCTGCAAAGATCTGCCCCAAATCTGTCACCGTTGCAGGGAGGGGACATCGGCCACCCCAACCCCACAGCCAGGGCTGTGTCCCCTCCTGGGTCAGCAATGTCCCTTGTCTGCGGGGAGCCGCCGGTCCTGGGCAGAGCAGCTCTGGCTGTGGTCATGGGCCAGGAGCTGAGCCTGGAGCCACTTCCTCACCTGGAAAAGGCATCCTGGACCTGGCTTTGTCCCTGGACCTGGCCACTTGTCCTTCAGGCACCATCAGACCCAACCCTGTCACCCAGCAGAGACGCGGCTGCACATGGAAGTGGGGCAAAGGCACCGGGAACGGCCGTGACCGGGAGAGGACGAAACTGCTGACAAAGCCGGGGCCGCGATACACCAAAATCCCTTTGATTTCAGCGAGGCCAAAGCTGCCGAGGGAGGCAGACTTGTTTTTCCAGTGCCTATGTATAGTGCTGTGAGCTCATAGTTTCCGATGGCGGAGAGTATCCGAAACTATGGAGGCAGGAATTTCCACCCCGACGCCTTGCTGGCTGGGAAGCTGCAGGTGGGGGCAGCGCGGCCTCCCCGCATCCATGGGCACTGCCCCGGTCACTTCTCCCCCTGCAGCGCCCTGGTGGGTGTGAACAGCCCCAAGGAGATCAGGCGGGACAGGGGTGCGCACCCCAAAGGTGCCTGTGGGACCCCTGCCCTGGCTCAGTCTGGAGAGCTTTCAGCCTCCACCAGCCCGAGAAATTTGGGGTAGTGAGGGGAGTGGCTCTGTCCCCGACCTGCACAGCGGAGCTGATGGGGATGGTGTGCTCCGGATCTCCCTACACCTTGCAATGGGATTTCATGGCACGAGGTCCCCTGGGCACGACCCCCAGCAGAGGCACCCTCTGCAGAGGCTAGATGCATTTTGGCAGCTGTCCCATGGCACAGCATGGCACGGTGAGGCTGCACCCTCCCTTTTGCTTCCAGAAACCATCCCCGTGTTGTAACCGCTGCGCCCACGGGTGACTGATACTGCTGCCCACGCCTGCCACCCGCTGCCCTGCCAGGGCGTGAAACTGTCCCTGCTCCCATTGCAGCGACTCTGGGGATCCATCGATGGGTTTTTAGGTGCAAGGGGTGCATTAATGTGCTCATCCACCCCTTTTCTGATTGTCCCATAGCTCCTGGAGTGCCTTGGGCACCTTCCTGAGGTTGGAAGGGTGCAGGACCAGGGATGGTTGTGCAGAGCCTCTCTGCCCCCAGGCAGGACCCCTGCTTGTTGTCCAGGTTTCTCCTGAACCACAGTGGAGGCTGCAGGTCCCCAGGGCATTTGGGTCCCTTGAAGCCAGGTTGGCCACCCCGTGGCCACCAGCTGGGCTGGGGAGGCTGGGAAGAATTGAGGTGGTGACAGGAACCATCCACCCTCCAAACGCTTCTTGGGAGGCTTTGGAGGGAAGATGCCTCTCAGCTCCTTGCCTGGGGGTCAGGTGAGGAACGACAGCACCCCAGGACAAGGGGCAGGGCCACAGAAAACCTTCTCTCTGTGGGTTTCCAGCTCTCATGTGCCCAAGCTGTGACTCATTGCCAAGTGCAGGGGTCCCACCTACCCCAAATCTGCAGCAGCTGATGCTGGAAACCACCAGGCAGGCGTGAGGTGCCAGTGGCTATAGTGCCTGCTCCTCTGTGAGCTTTTGGGGCTGCCCCCAGCCATGCTGGGGTTTGGGTGAGCAGCCAGCAATGCGGCTGGGGGCCAGCACCCCTTCCACCCCCTGTTCCAGCAGGGTTTGATCACATCACACAAAGGCAAGCATGGCAGGACCGTGCCGCCCATCCCTGCCTCCGCCGCCTGACGCCGGCTCCTCACCCACTCCCTGGTGAGGATCAGGGCTTTAAAACCCAAACGAGTTCCTCCGCATTCACTCCCCGGGAGCTGCCCTGTCCCCGCTCCTGCTTTTACGCAACGTGCCCGCATGAAACGCGCGGCCGCCAGCTCCGTGTTATATAGGCGTCCCGGTCCCCGTCCCGGCTGCTGCTCGGCGCTGGGGACAGTGGTAGAGTGCATGGAGAAGACCCTGCCCAGGTGCCCTGCAGCAGGTAGGGGGGCTCCGGGGCACAGGGTGCGGGTCTCCTGTGGTTCTTTAGGGAGCATCAAGGCCCTAAATCGGAGAGGAGTTGGGGCTTCCTCCCTTTGAGCAGGGAGGGGATGGCTTCTTGTGTCTGCGTGGCCAGCCCGGTGCTGGGGGTGGCTGCTGGGCTCTGAGCGGGGCTGCGATGCCCTCCTCTCTAGCAGCAGGGGGGATGACAAAAGCTCCAGAAACATCTGTGAGGACACCCATGGGTGCAATCAGGCTTGCAAAAGGGGGTACAGATTGTGTTGGGTCTGAAAACACTGCTGGGGCTGGAAAGTTGCCTGCTTTATGGAGCTCCAGCTGCTGAACCACTCTAGGAGAAGGGAGCTGAGCATCCCTCCTTCACCTTTTCTCCCTCTCCCTGTCCCTCCCCTGACCCCATGCTCCCTGCCCTTGGAAGCACCTGGGTTTCCTTCGGACCCAGCCCACGCAGGGGTCTCAGGACCGAGGTGGCCCTGGTGGCCCCGCACTCCCCGGTGCCCGAGGCCAGGGCAGGGGCCAGGTGAGGTGTCGGGGCCGGGCTGTGCCCTGCCCGCTCTGACTAACAGCAGACGCCACTCTCGGTGCTCGCAGCCCGCACCGTGCTCAGCAGTGGCCCAGGACACTGCGCTGGGATGTCCCTGGAGGGAGCCTGGTGTGGGGCTCGCTGCCTGCCCCCCCACGCTCCATCTTCACCTCCCTGCCCCACCTGCCCATCCTCCCAGCTCCTCCACATCCCCTGGGGTGGGAGCATCTCCTTTCCTCGGCAGGCTTCTCTGTGGGATGGGAGCCGACAGCAGAGCACAGAGGCACTGGTGCCATGCACTGAGCTTGCTCTGCCTGCAGCAGGGTGGGTGCAGCCCCATCCAGGGGCTCTCACCTTTTCCCTTTTCCCATGGAGTTTTGCAGCTGGGGCTTGTTGCTCCTGGGAGCTCCAGAGCTGAGGTCCTCCCGTCATCCCTCTCCCGCACAAGGTTCCAAACAAGGGGCTTCAATACCCCTAAAAATGCCCTGCCTCATGGGGACCGTGCCTCAATGCCACCCACACAGATGTGAGAGGTGAGAGGGTGAGGGCAAGAGAGCAGAAAGGAGGAGAGGTGGAGGAGAGATGGAGCGTGCCAACCATCGCACCCCAGACCTTATTAACCTTATCAACCCCCCGCATCCTTCCTCGCAGCTGGGGAGCACCCGGGGACCCAGCAGGGATGTCGGAGACCTCATCCAGCAAGGAGGCTCCCCCGGCCGAGTGCCCGGTCTGCTACGAGAAGTTCCAGCCGCTGGAGCACACGCACCGCAGGCTCAGCTGCGGGCACGCCTTCTGCCATGACTGCCTGGTGAAGTGCCTGCTCTCCGCCAAGCTGGACGGCCAGGTGCGGAGCAGCATCATCTGCCCCGTCTGCCGCTACGTGACTTTCCTCAGCAAGAAGAAGGCTCTTTGGCCCAGCAACCTGCTGGCGCTGGAGATGCCCCTGTCACCTTCCTCCTTGTCCCAGCTGGCCAAACTGGAGCCCAGCAACACCTTGGTGGTGCCCAGCCACTTTGTGATGCCGGTGCAGAGCTTCGACCGGTGCCGCGGCACGGGGAGCAGCCCCGGGGACTCGCAGGGAGAGCTGGCACGGGAAGCCCACATCTTCGTCATCAGCAGCCACGGGATGCCGCTGGTGGACACGGACTGCTCCTCCCTGGGGAGGAGAAGCCTGGCCGAAACACGCAGCACCGTGTCCTCCAGCTCGGCCCTGGGCGTGAAGTGCTGTCAGTCGCCCATCGCCCTGGCCGTGCTCCTCATCCTGACCGTGGCCATGCTGGCGGCCGTGCTCCCTTGGCTGCTGCTGGTGAAGAGGGACTCGTAGCGGGGATGGGACCGGCTTGGCTGCTGTAGGGCTGTCACCGACACCGGGGCTGGCACCTCCTCGAAAATATCCCTGGAGGGAGCCCAGAAGCAGCTCCAGGGGAAGCTCTTCCATCTGGCCAGGGACTTCTGGGTGTTTCTGAAGGTCTCTGGGTGCTCACATGCTGGATTTTTTGCCTTTTGGCTAAAACGTGGCTTCTCAAGCCCTGTTGGTGGATTTTTCTGGCATTTTAGTGGCACAATGGGGCAGGAAGGGACCCAGCTCACTGCCCACGCAGTCCCAGCCTGTGCCCTGCTCTTAGGTCTCCAGAGTGGGGGCCATGCTCCTGCTGCCACCGTGTCCCTTCTGCTCTGGGTGTGCAGGGACAGGCAGCAGGGCAGGGGGCAAAGCCAGGTCTAGGCTGTGCCAGGAGCAGGTTTGGGAACCCCACTCTGCTCCCCATGGTGTGGGCACTGGGGATGCGCAGCTGAGGTTTGGGAATTTCTGTGCCCTGTCTAAAGGAAGGGCGAATGGGGGCTGCTGTTCACCCCCTGCCAGAGCTGCCAGCGGTGACGGGGACTTTCTCCTGCCACTCTCCCCCTGTGGCTGGGCACCCCAGTTCTGCCTTTGCACCCTCACCACCACCTTTGTCCTCCTGACCCAGTGCCCAGCCCCATAGGCGCTGCTGGTCTCACTCATTCTGGAATGTGCCCCGAGGACCTTGGTGCTTTGGGACTGCCTGACCCCTTTGGAGCAGGAGCAGGGTGTCCCTCGCTGTCACCCGCAGGAGGTAGCGGCAGGCAGGAGGGTGGCACATGGTGGTCCCCGTGCTCCCTAAGTGAGATTCCCACTGCCTGGATGGGCATCAGGTGGCCAGAGTGCCACCGAGATGGCTTTGGGATCATCCAGGACATTTCATGGGGACAAATAAATCCGACCTGGGGCTGGAAATGCTGCTTGATGGGAAAGGATCAAGGCAGCCCATGGCCCACCGCTGGGCAGAGCCAGGACATCATTCATCCACCCCCGTGCCTCAGTTTCTCCACCTGCGCGCTGACCCCTGCACGAAGCACTGGGAGATGACCTGAGGAAAAAGTGCTTGAGACACTGCACTGGAATGGAAATCCTATTTCATAACAAATAATGACCTGACAAGAACGCGCCCATGCCTCATCGTTTAATAATTACCCTTGTTATGACGCCATGTGTCGGGGGAATTACTGGAGGGTGCCAGGGAGCCACCCCCTTTATAGGGGCTGCCCGCAGGTGGGTAGGCGTGGAGGAGCCCAATTCTGGCTGCTGCTGCTGGAGTCTCGGGGATGCTTGCCAAGGGGGGTGGCAAAGAGACCCAGCAGCAGCTCTGGGGTGCGGAGGGACATCCTGGGATGTGTCGGGGTGACAGCAGGGCAGAGGGGCCCAGGAGGTGTCATCAGCAGGGACAGGCAGCGCCGTGGGCCTTGGCGGGGAGTCCGGGGGCACCCCCCATTTCGGGCAGGAGGCTTGCCACAGGGTGGCACTGCTTGGCCAGGGATGGGTGCCGGGGCCGGCGTGGTGGCAGGAGCAGCCCTGGGTGGCGGCACCCTGCGCCTCCAGCCCCTGCCTTGGTGGGCGAGGGTCACGGAGCCCCCCGGGAGCCCTGCGACCAGCACACCCCGGCGAACCAGGGCCCAGGGGGCTGCGTGCGTCTGGGAGGGTGATCCCAAACCCGTCCTGTGCGCATGGAGAAGCTGCCAGCATCCTGTCTGCTCCTTGTTCGTGCTGATGGCTGGAGCCAGACCTTCCTGAGCCCTGTCCGGCTGCAGGTCCCCGGGGGAGGTCTGGCTCTCCTCACACCACAGCCCCCACCAGGGGCATGGCAGGGACCATTTCAGGGACAGGCGCAGCTCGGGGCCGTGCATCGGGTGGCTGTGTTCCCTGCAAATGTCCCGGCCCCCCAGCACATCACCCGCTGTGGGGACACTCGTGTAGTCCTGCCTTGTCCCTGCCATGTCCCTCAGCAGACACCAGCACTGCTCTGTGGGCGGTCAGTCACCCACTCGTGTCCAAATTCTCCGGGCAGCGTCTCCTTGCAGAGTTACTGCAGGCTCCCGGCACACCGCTGGTGCTTGCGATTCGGACTGGGAGCTGCTGGAGATCCCTGGGGATGCCCTGGGGGCCCTGGCTCCATCCCAACCCCTTCCCTTTTCCCCCCTTTTTGTTGCTGGAGAGGGCTGGGATGTCCCGTCCCTTGTTCCCTGGTGACACGGGGGCCCTGTCCCCTGCCACAGCCCAGAGGCTGTGGTTTTCACGAGCAACCCCAAGCTGCCCAAGGCAGGAGCCCATTAGGGCAATTATTTCTAAGTGCATCCGGGAGGGAGCTAATGACTCTCCTGCAGATAAGGAAGGCCAGCATGCATGCACACAAAATTAAAGGTCAGCTAACAAAAGGGCCAGAGACATGTCCTCCAGGCAGCTCTGGTGGGCAGGGGCTTTGTAGGACCCTGCCATGAGGATGAAGGGCTCATGTGATGGGGCAGGATGCCAGGAGCTCTGATGCTGCTCTGGGACTGCTCTGCAAGCGTGTGACAAGAAATAAAGCCCAGCTTGGGCTGGACTGGGGTAGATTGTGGGCATTTGGGGCACTGGGAGAGTGTCTGTGCAAGTGTGTCTGTGTGTCCTCATGTCCAGCAGGCAGCTGGCTGTGCTCAAGATGCAGTTGGACGTGTTTCACTATCAGTGCACAGGTTTCCATGCCTGTTTTCATGCCTTGTATTTTATTTCAAGCAGGTGCCGATGTATGTGCGTGCCTCAGTAAAGGTTTCCAGAGACTCTTGAACTGAAGTGAGTGTCCGGGCACCTGCCCCCCACCAGCCCTGGGGCTGTGGCACCAGCTGTCCCCACGGAGGGACATCTGGCTGTGCGTGATGTGGAGCCTGCCCGTGCTTTTAAAGGAAGTCAAAGTCCCCTCTGCACTGTCCTGCTCTGCGTGGGTCAGCTTGGGGTGTCCCTTCCCTCCGGACCCTGTGGTGCCCACAGCTTCACCTGCTCCAGCAGCACACCTGCCCAGCCTGGTGGGGCTGGAGCTCTCCTACACCCTGGTCCTGGGCAGGGAGATGGGAGTGGAGGTGCCAGCGGACCCCGGGAGCTGGTGTGTCAGAGGCTTTTCCCCTTCTCTGTGGTAGGAGAGGTCCCCAGGCCATGTCCCTTCCCAGGAGCCCTGCAGCTTGGCTGTGGGCTGGATGAGCACAGACTCGATGAGCAGCATTGGAAGGGCATCGCCCTTGGGGTGACCACCTGGCACTGCTGGCATTCCCGGTGCCAGCCCTCAGCCTGCTCGCGGTGGGCACCAACTCCTGCCGTGGGTGCATGGCTCTATCCATGCTGGGTACCCCAAAAGCTGCCTTTCCCACTCACCCATGGCAATGAGGTGCACCAGGCTTTGTGACCCTGACCCAGCGTTTCAGGCAGGATGCTTCGGCGTGCACCGCCGGGTATCGCTACTGTCTGGGCAGGCGGCCTGGCCTGGGGACCTGCCCTGGGCGCCAGCTGGCTAGGAAAGGGGTGGGGATGTGTGTGCCAGCTCAGTGATTTGATCAGCATGGCCATCTGGAGCAGGCTCGGATCTCCTGCTGCAGGTTTCAGAGGCCTGTTGAGAAAGGAGTCAGGCACAGCTGCTGTCTGCCCATGCAGGTGCTCCTGAGGATGCTTCTGACATGGAGAAGGAGGGCGAACAGGTCCTTTCCAACATCACGTCCTCTGCCCTCCTGAAAGAAAACTCTCCTGCACATCCATAACTCCTGTAGGACCACCAGCACGGTCACCACGAGCACAAGGGCTTAATGCTCTCTTTTTAGGAGAGGGAAAAACAAAAACAAACATGCCAGGGCTGATGGGTTTCTCCCAGGCAGGGAGGAGTGATCCACGGGCAGAGCCCTGCTCTGAACTAGAACAGCTGGGTGAGGAGTGCGTGGTGATGGGTGGGTGTTAGGTGGGTGGTGGGGCTCCAGGTCAGTGCGAGAAGGGCACTGGCTGGAGGTGGGCACAGGCTGGAGGTGTGCCTGTGGGGAAAACAGGTGGGGGGGGACTGGCAGAGCAGTGCTTGTCCACATTTCTTCATGCTGTGTGGACAGCAGAGAAAGTGGGCATGAGGATGACACACAGGACTCTGTAAGGTGACCTGAGCCTTCCCACGGCACTGTGGCCCTCACAGATCCCCTTTTGGTTAGCTGGCACCCTGAACTGTGCACTACACCAGGGCTGTGCTTGCAGCCCTGCCAGCTGGTGCAGGGATGTCCACGTGGAAAGGGTGGGTGGGAGTCCCAGGAAACCCCGACCAGTGTTGCAAAGAGGCAGGGCCTGAGCAGCCATCAGGCTGGCAGGCAGTCCTGATGCATTTAAGACATTCTCCTGCACAATGTCCAGCCATTAGCTTTGCCATTCCTGGCCCACCTTCCTCCAGTGACCCCATGGAGTCCTCTGACCCTGCAGGTGGATGTGGTGTGCCCCAGCCAGCGCAGCATGATGCTAGCTGCTCTGCAGGACCCGGGGTGCTGCTGGTCCCAGTGTTCCCCAAGTCGTCTCCTTCCCTTCCTCTGCCTAAAATTGCTGGCTTGGCAACCCGCCATCAGTTTCCAGTGTGGACAGGATGCGAGGAAGATCCCCGGCAGCTCCGGTGTGTGATTTCCCAGGCTGGAGGGCACGCGCTGCCCTTCCCACGCCAGTAGCTCAAGGTCTTTTCCTGGTGGCAGCAGGGCTGTGTACTCTGGGTAATGGCTGCATAATGCATCATTAGCAAGAGAAGGTGGTGCTTTCATGGCTCAGAGATGGGAGAGGTGGGAATTGTGCAGGGCCCAGGAGTGCTTACTGGCCAGACACGTCAGCAGGCTCCATTAGGAGCCAGCCTCTGAGAGCCCTGGCTGCATCAGCTGAAATCTTGGCATGAATAATTGAGAAGAAGGCTCCTCTGAGCTTCCTCTCCTTCCCTGCACCCAGCCCATGAAGGCTGGAGTGGGGCTGGCCTGGGTTGTTCAACTGGTGTGGGACATGGACATGGTGACACTGGCCCAGACGGGTGTCCCCATGCCGCGGTCTCTCCAGCCAAGAGCTTCTCAGCTCCATCTCCAAAAACACAGCAGTCACCTTTTCACATCTTCCACCTGTGCATATGGGGCATGGCCCCGGGCTGGGCTCCTCTTCTGGAGCCTTGCAGAAGAGTGGGGTTCTCCAAACCTAAAATGAGCCTGGCAGTGCACGAGGGGCTCAGCTGGTGTCCCCCTGACACATAAATGCTCGTGGCTGCAGTAGCTCACTGGGACCAGGTGCCCATGCCCTGCTGAAGGTCTGATTGCTTTCCTGTGACAGCCATTCACAGCCCTGTTTTGTCAAAAACTTAGCAACCAGACACAAAAAGAACCAAAAGCCCGAAACACCTTCAGATCCCGGCACAAGCAGGGATGGGTGATGCTGCAGCAGGGTGTGCTCGGGGTGCTGTAGGGCTGGTGCTAGGCTCCCAGCTCCCTCTGCACGGACAGATCCTGGAGCAAGCATGCAGAAGCCCTTACCCTGCTCTGGGCAGCTGGGTTCATCAGCCACCACATGCTGATAAACACGTGTGTGTGACGGGAAGGTCTAATGTTAATTTAGTTGGCTCTAAGATGTGGAGCCTCCAGGAAAACTTCTCCTTATCTGCTCAGATCCATCAGGAGTTGGAGCTGCTGGGCACTGATACAGGGCAGGATTGCAGGCAGCTGCTGGGAAATCAGGGATGTCCAGGGACCCTGAGGAGAACATCCTTTGGCTGTTCCCAGCCAGGCCCCAGAGCTGCAGCGAGCCCCAGGGAAGCAGAGGGATGCCAGCTTTGCACAAGGGCTGCTCTCACCAGGAGATGCTCTTTAGCTTTATCCCAGCCCCTGGGTGAGATCCTCTGGCTGCTGGTCACAGCCACTTCTCACCCATCTCGCTAATGACTGCAGAACTTTCAAACGAGCACCAATTAGCTTCTGGCCAGCACTCCTGTGCTGATCCATTTGGAACCCAGCCAGGGCTCAGGCAGGCATTAATGGAGCTCAGCTCGTTAGTGGAGGCTGGGAAGAGGAACAGGGCTGGGCTGTGGGCTGGGAGGGCTGGCAGGACCCAGGGGATGCTGTGCTGCTCCCTGGGCAGGATGGCACGTCCATCCCATCCCAGGGGCTCTGGAGGATGTAAGGGTGTATCTGCTTCTGCTGGCAGCTGCCTTTTCCCTTCCTGATGACCAAAAAGCAGGATCATGCTTCCCATCCTGTAAGTATGACCACAACCAGGCCTGAAGGGCAGCTGAGGGCTGTGCTGTCCCAGCAGGTGGCTCCAGGTTGAGGTTCTGCCTCTGCCCGAGTGGGGACGAGAGATCTGGGCTCAGCCCAGCCATGCGCTTTCTCTGGCTCCTGTTGAGCATGTGAATGTTGCTGGGCATTAGGAAAAGCACACACTTTTCTTCTGCCCTGAACCTGAGGGGAGGTCTGGAGGCTCAGCTGAAGCCGAGAGTCTCATCTAGAGGCTCTTTAACAGCTCAGCCCTTGTCAGCTGCTTGAAGGGACGTTGCCTGTCCAGGAAGATGGGACAGGCAGCAGCAGTGTTTGTGGCTGCACGTGCTGCATGCCCTGAGCGTGACCGAAACCAGCAGCTGCCTGCAGCAGCCCTGGGTGGGGACAGAAGCGAGCCCGTGAGTCGCAAGGCGGTGCCCAGCCCCGGGAGCTCAGCGAGATGGCACGAGGGTGATGATGGCACGAGGGCAATGTCAGCACCGGGCTGGCACGTGGAGGGAGGAGGCACTGCTCTGCCTGCTGCTTCCCACCCTGCAAACCTCCCGCTGGGCAGCTGCAGCAGGCAGGGGGCTGGGGGGGCTTAAATCCCAGTTCAGATCCCGCAGCTGTGTGGGGAGGGGCAGGGCTCACTGCAGGGTGCTGTGTGGTGAGGGAGACCCAGCTCCTCCAGCACACCCAAACCCTGCTGCAACCCCCCTGCACCCGTCTGCACCTATCTGAGGGTCCTGGTCCTCGCCTTGGGTCTCCTTCCCG